TGAGTTACCAGACATTCCTACTCCATCTGGTACATCACCACCATCCTCACATCCACCATCATCACCTTCTCCTGCTGCACTTGTTTCCTACTCACCCGCTTCTTCCTCCTCTGATGGTTTGACACAACCATCACCTCAACCAGTAGTACCCCTAAGAAAGTCTAACAGGCAGAGTGTCTTTCCAAAGAAGTTTGATGATTATTATGTTGGTAGTGCTCAAGTCAGTTCTACTCCCAAGCCTATACCCTCAGATCTGTTGCATCTTACTCCCCACCAGCAGCATTTTGCTTTGACCATTGCTGCTGTTGTGGAACCTACCTCTTATGCTGAGGCAGCTCGTGACCCTAGATGGAATGCTGCAATGACAGATGAAATAAGAGCATTATATGAAAACAATACTTGGGAGATAACTGACTTGCCCCCAGGGGTGAAACCAATAGGTAACAAGTGGGTTTACAAGGTCAAATTCCTACCCACTGGAGCCATTGAAAGGTTTAAAGCAAGAGTTGTAGCCAAGGGCTACACTCAGATCTATGGAATTGACTATTGTGATACCTTCTCCCCTGTTGCCAAGTTAACCTCAGTGAAAATGCTCCTGGCTGTTGCATCCATCCACAACTGGCACTTACACCAGATGGATGTCAACAATGCATTTCTCAATGGGGATTTAGAGGAAGATGTTTACATGGAAATGCCTGAGGGGTTAAGAGGAAAGGAAGAATACAAGGGCAAAGTTTGCAAGTTAAAGAAATCTCTTTATGGCCTCAAGCAGGCCAGCAGAATGTGGTATGCAAAGTTAACATAATCTTTACTTGCTAATGGCTTTACTCAGTCCAAGTCAGATTATTCAATCTTTCTTACAGAAGTTACAGGAAGTCTGGTGGTTGTGATTCTCTATGTTGATGACATAGTCATTGGCAGTTCAAGTTTAGAAGCAGTGACTTCAGTTAAGCAGCTGCTGGGGTCATTGTTTAAAATGAAGGACTTGGGAGAGATCAAGTACTTCCTTGGCCTTGAAGTGCACAGGTCAGATGCAGGAATCCATGTTTCCCAAAGGAAATACTGCATTGAACTCTTGAAGGAGGCAGGTTTTGATGAGAGTAAACCAGCTAAAACACCTTCCAGTATCAAACAGGTGCTTTCTGCCACTGAGGGTGAACCCTATACCAACATCAGCCACTTCAAGCATCTCCTTGGCCAACTGCAGTACCTTAACAGCACCAGACCTGACATCACTTTTGCAGTGCAGCAGTTGTGTCAATTCCAAGACTCACCAACAACTGTGCACCTCAAGGCCTTACACAGGGTGTTCAGATACCTCAGGAATTCACCAGGTCAAGGACTTTTCTACTCCAGCCAAGCCTCAATTCAGTTAACAGGATACAGTGACTCAGATTGGGCCACTTGTCCTGACACAAGGAGGTCATTGACTGGATTCTGTGTCTTTCTGGGCACAAGTTTGATTAGTTGGAAAGCCAAGAAACAGAGCACTGTCTCTAGATCCTCGTCTGAAGCGGAGTATAGAGCATTGGCTTTACTTAGTTGTGAGATACAATGGCTGGTAAGACTCCTTTATGATTTCGGTGTTAACCATTCTCACCCAGGCTTGGTGTTTTGTGATAGTCAGTCAGCCATCCACATTGCCAGGAACCCTGTGTTCCATGAGCGGACAAAACATATTGAGGTTGACTGCCATGTGATCAGAGAACGTTTACAGAATGGATTAATCAGTTTACATCACATTTCTACTACACATCAGCTAGCTGATGTTTTCACCAAAAGTGTTGGAGTCGAGCGATTCAATTTCCTCATGAGCAAGCTGGGAGTTTCTGGACGACACTCGCCAGCTTGTGGGGGGGTATTGGAGAACTGATCTGGTTGCAGCAGGAGGATGATTATCAATGGACATGAAGAGCAATGGACCTGCTGCTGCAGAGGAATGAGAAGAATGAAGAATGTCTGCAGATCCCTGTCCCCGTGTGTTTGAAACGGTGGCGTTGTGCCTTCACTAAGTGTGAGTCCAGAACGCCGCCGTTTCCCTGGATCTCACAAAGACATATTGAAGACGACACCGTTTGAGGCTAGAGTTACAGAACAGTATCTATTCGTTAGAATTAGCCAGGTGTCGTGTTCTTAGTCGTTAGTTTCATTTGTTTGTTACTAATTACTGTTTAGTAGCCGTTAGTTGTTCTTCCTAATGTAAGGCTGTACATATATAAATGAGAAAGCAGAAAACGAAGGACTCAAGGATTTTTTAGATCTCTTCACCAAAACCCTAGCTATTTCATTTTCTTCTTAAGCTCTGGCTTGTCGTCGTTGAATCCCCCACCGCTGGTTTTAGTCAACTTTCGGCCTAGTCGCCGGCGAGTTCAGTCTCTGGTGGGTCACTATTGGAGCATCGGTCGTCGAGGCTTGTCTATAAGGGAAGGGAAAGGTGAATTGTGGTGGAATATTAATGAAATAAATTTTTAAAAAATAATAATCTAATATGACGTGGCTTACACGTGGAATAGGTGACTCAGGTTTGACTTGTAGTCCTATTTGATTACGTGTACGTTGAAGAGTTAACGGTGTTAAATTATCTAACGGATATGACTAGATTTGTCAAATTAGTTTAATTTTTTTTTAAAATTGTGGCTATATGAGTGTATTCTTCAAAACTTGGCTATTATTGTCACAACGTGCAAAGTTATGGCTATGAGAATGTATTAAGCCTTTAAAGAATCATAACTTCCAAAGTTGAACATTAGTCCGTCAACATCTAAAATGACTCTCTTAATGTTTTGATGAAATTTAACATTTTGTGTATTACTCAGAAATTGGCTATTATTATTACAAATCGATAGTTATGGCTATACAAGTGAATTTTTACTAAAATCTAATTAAAATTCTCATTGAATGACTTTATTACGGGTGCTCGTTTGGGGTTATGAGACAAAATAAATGGTCTTGAGTATGCCTAAAGTTAAGACATGGACAGAGAGAAGAGATGAGATCATGATATCCCAATTTATTGCCTTCGCTAATATTCGATTCGATGGAAGGAAGGATGGGAAACAACTAATGAAAGTGTCCACTTTGAGTGTTTTGAAAAGGGCTAATACCACTTGCAAATCCGAATTATTAAGAATGTGCCATTTGTGTTCTAAAGTATCTAATATGACATTTGTGTCCCAAACTATTATAGTTTTGTGTCATTTATGTCCCAATCTATTATAGTTTTGTGTCATTTATGTCCTAACCCGAACAATTAAGAATGTGCCATTTGTTAAATACTAATGGTCAACACCGGTCAACTCTTACGGAAAAATAGTTTACGACACAAATGTCATATTGGATACTTTAAAACACAAATGACACATTTATAATAGTTCGGTTTCCTAGTGGTATTATCCCTTTTGAAAATAACAAGAGATTGAGTGAGAGACGAGAGTGACCTAGTAAAACTTGGATGCTAAGTTTGGATTCAATTAGAGCTTGCAAGTTGTCAAAGTGTGGACAATGGCCAAAAGTTGTAGGTTATATTCAATTAATTTTAAAGTTGGGTTAATATCTTATTTTGGCCTGAATTATGACCATATAATCAACTTTGGCCCTGGTTTCATAAATTAACATCCTGGCCTCAACTATGCAACATATAGACTCAATTGGCCCGACACATGGTTTGACCGTCAATTTGGACGGTCAACACGTCATGTCATTGCCTTGTCAGCCTAAAAATCATTACAAAATTCAAATTCAAATTATTTTCCTAATTTCTAATATTTATCATTATCAAATTAACCAAAAATTGAAATTATAAAATCATAAAATATTATTAATTTATTTTTTGGGTAATTTGAAAATAATAATTTTTTATAAATTAACCAAAAAGTATCAAATTATTTTAAAAAATTTAAATTTTATTTTTTGGTTAATTTGAAAATTACAAATAATAGAAATTAGGAAAATAATTTGAATTTTTTAATGATTTTTAGGCTGACGAGGCAATGACATGGCGTTGACCGTCCAAATTGACAGTCAAACCATGTGTCGGCCCAATTAAGTCTATATGCTGCATAGTTAAGGACATGATGTTAATTTCTGAAACCACGGGGCAAAGTTGATTATATGGTCATAGTTAGGGCCAAAATAAGGTATTAACCCTTTAAAGTTTTGGTAGTATTCACTACTTAGTATTTCGATTCACACCGATCCCAACCCATGATTCCGAATATGGATGACAACAAAACCCGGATCCACGAGTATCCTACCCAACCTAATCCAACCCGGTCAATGTAGGTAAAACCCGCGTTGACAAATTGAGGGTCGGTTTTGGGTTGAAGCTTTTTGCACTATTCACGGGTTGCGTTATGTTTGCGTTAGGTATACCCAACCCATGAATACCCGGTCACAACCTCACACCCATACTCCCATAACCTTCTTTATGTTTGCGGAGACATGTCAAATTTGTTGTTCTTACTAATTGTGTAGAATGCAGTTGATATTTTGGAGTATAGAGTGAAGCTAAGATGTCAATTTTCAAGTTATTAAAGAGGAAGAAACGATCAACTAACCATGTTTTTTGCATATGTTTTTCTTTAACATTGAACAATTTGCATGGATAATTTGGGGATTTGCTTGTATATACTAAATTGGTGTTTTTTTGTATGGATGGATTAATGTTACACTTTTATGTTGACATGAGATTGGTGTTATACATTTTTGTCCGTCAGAACCCATGGGTATCTATAAACTCGCGGAAACTCAGTGAGTTTGGTTGGATTTGAGATTTAGAACCGGTTGAATTTTCCCCCTTTTTTTAAGATAATACCCGCTGGGTTGGATTTGAATTTGGAAGAACCCGGTCCAACCCGGCCAATTGCCATCACTAATTCCGAAAAAGCACAAAAAAAAAAATCAATTCTATCGCAGTTCATACAAAATAACTCAATATTCAATTATATCAATTATCAAATAGTGATGAATTCACATAGAGCGTTCAATAATATCTCAAAATACAGTCACTAAAGCGATAAAGATGTGTGGGTTGGTTGCAACGCGGGTTGACCCGGACCCGGTTGAGCTAGTGGATCAAGGGTTAATGAGTCACCCGTTTTAGCCCGGTTTAACCCTGAAATATGAAAAGAGTCATTATATTGTACTTATCCTGATAAATTATATAAAATTTCATCTAAAGTATCAGTTATAACATATAATATTACACCAAAATAACATGTCGTACTTAGATCCAACATATAGTGAAAATTCACACACACTTATATAACATCAATATTCAAATGTTCTCTAACAAAAAAAAAAAAAAAATTCAAATGTTCAACTTAGGATTCCAAAGATTGAGTTAGGCGAAAAGAAAAATCGGAAAATAGACGCATTTTGCAAACCAAAGTAAAAAATGACACAAATTGACCTCCAACCCAGTACCTTTTAGTGATCGACCCGACAGTTGCGTGCAACCCGTTTTTCTCACAGCCGGATCAAAGTAAGTCGACCCGCGGGACGACCGGGGGTTGACAACCTTGGTTGGTTGTGATTCTTGTGAAACAGTGAAGGCCTGCAAAATGCAAATGGAATGGATTCCAGTCCTCGTCATGATCCTTGTACTGTTTGACCGGGTTAAGTTTTCCACTGGGCTCTAAACCGGGTCGGATTTGCTATGGCTTCCCGTTAACTACCCCGCCTGTGACAGGATAAAATTTCACTGCTCCAGTGCTCCCTAGTCCCTATCAATTAGGAGCTCAAATTACTCTATCTCAGTAAAAGATCTCAATCGATCTCTCACTTCGATCAAAAGATTTGAAATTCAAAAAACTAGGGCGGAGCAAGACGAAACCCTAGAAATTTTGGCGCCACATTCAAAACCCACAATTCAGAAAGATCGCCCCTTTCCTTTCCCGACCCGCAAAAATAAAAAGGGGGGAAAATTCGGCGCCTCGTTTTAGCTGGGGCACAGCGCACACAGTTTCACTTTCACAGGCAGGCACTCTCCACGTTTCTCCCCACCGAGACTGAATTACCCAGCGACAGAGGGTGAAAGGTCGTTTCTTTTCCCCGTAACATCTACTACAGTAATTCACACCCGAAGACCTTCGCTGTCCTTTTCCCCCACACCATACCTCGGGAAAAGTTTAGGGTTTCTCCCTTTTTTTAATTCGACAAAAGTTAGGGCTTTTCAATCTCACGCCCCTTCCCTTTTAAACTAATTAACCGCGCAAGATTATGCCAGAGTTACTGAAATATAAGCGGAGGCTGCGAATAGCTGAGCAGCAACAGCAGCAGGGAACCAACCTGGGCATGGAGAAAGCCGACGGTGTTCCGGGGGCAGAAGCGAACGGCGGGGTTGCGGCCAAGGTTGGAAAAGAGGAAGAAGGAGAGAGAGAAAGCGTAGCGGTAGAGGTAGCGAAGGCGGAGGAGAATGGGTCAATGGCGGAAGTCCAAGGGTTTCCGGGTGTTGAAGATGCGCCGGTGAAGGAAGAGTTTATGGAGGTGGAGGGCTGCGGCGGAGATCGGAATCATGAGGAGAAGGAGAGTGATGCGATGAGAATCGATCAGGGAGGGGAGAATGGGACGGAGACTGAGGAAGGAGCAAGTGGGAATGGTGGTGAGGGAGTGAAAGAGGCGGTGGATGGGGGAGACCAGGAAGCTGGCGAGGGTACCGAGAAGCTGTCCAAGAAAAGGGGACGGAAGGGTGGTGCGAAAACCCAACGGCAAGAGAGCTCTGACACGCAAGTTATGGCGAGAGAGCGTCGCAGTACCCGCGATCGCGTTCCCGTCTCATATGTGGAGTCCAAGTGGTTGGAAGAAAGTGAGGCTCCAGTTAAGAAAAAACAGCGGGAGAGCAGTGCTAAGAAGGCTGGAAAGGCCTCTAAAACTGGGGAAGTTAGTGAAACTCGTCCTCCATTGAATAAAGTGTACGGTGATCTGGATTGTACGAGGAACCGTGAGGTATGAGATCGAATGATCTGCATTGGTTTTACTTTGTTGCCTGCTTTTTTAGCTGCCTTCTCTTTCGGTTTATTGCTAGAAATCTTGACGCTATACTGAGCGTGAATGCCTCTCTGCCTTTACAGTTCACTGAGAAGTACTGTCTAATGTGCCATCAATGCCAAAGGAACGATAAAGGTGGTGTTGTTCGATGCAACAAATGTAAAACCAAGCGATACTGCTTCCCGTGCATATCAAATTGGTAGAGTTTATCAACATCTCTTTCTTGGTGTTTTAAGTTACTCTTTTTGGTTAAGATTAGCTTCGTGGTATTGTCAGGTCTTTGCAGTAGTTTTAGGATGAAAACTTGCATTTCTACTGCTTGATTGCTTGGGCTGGGTTTGTTCTTTAGACCAACCCCACAATAGGGAAATGAATTGCATTCAGTAGATTGAAGATAGATGTTCTCACAGAGTCTGGTTTTTGGTCTGTCAAACCAGGTACCCTAAGTTGACGCATGAGGATGTTGCAGCTGCCTGTCCTTTTTGCTGTAATAACTGCAGTTGTAAAGCTTGTTTGCGCATGGATCTCCGAGCCGAGGTCCAAGATCTTCCGCATTGCACCCAAATTTTTTTTTTTTTTTTTTACTGAATTTCATATGTCAAGGCTCTGTGAATTATCCAATCCTCATTGTTATTCTTTCTCTATCTTGTGCAGGATCTGCAGTCACGGTTGAAAGTGGAACTCACTCCAGATGAAAGCAAACGACATGCTGAATATATGTTACAGTCAATTTTGCCTTTCTTGAAGCAAATAGACGAGGAGCAGTTAATGGAGAGAAAGATTGATGCAGGAATCCTAGGTACTTCCTTGATACCTATTATATTTATATTTTGTTTTTCGATGAATGGTGGGCTTTATTCATCATACAATCAACACCACAAATTGTCAACAACGTCCACAGCACTATTTACAACACCGCTTCCCTGTATCTAACTGCTAAGCAACAATTCAAAGGAAACAACTTCTGAACCTGACAACAACAACAAAACAAGACTATGACCAGAAGATGAATTACACCATTTTGTACCAAAGCGGTTTCCCCTCTGCAGCTACTGCAAAAGCGACATCCCCAGCTAGCTTGAACTCCACCTCCTGCGCCATCTTTTGAGTCAATGCTACTGGAGACAAAGATTTGTTACCATATAGTCTTCTACACCTCTCTCGCCATACTTCGCTAACCAGCAAACACCAAATGGTACGCCCTGTCATGCATTTCCCGAACCTGCAAACAGCAGCTAGAACTGCACTATGAAATGTCCACCCGAGAGGGAATTGCCATGGATCAAAAACTATGCTCCAAACCGTCCTGACATAAGAGCAGGAGAAAAAGAGATGATCTCGAGCCTCTGGTTCAGAATGACAGAGAGGGCAGTTGTCAAGGACATCTGAATTCCATCTCTTGATCTTGTCCAAAGTCATGATTCTGTCCTGTAGAACGAGCCAAGTTAGTAATGAGTTCTTATGAATCAGAGGCCCCTTCCATACCAGCGAGGCCCATGGAACTACTTCCCGCCTTGGTCTGAGACTATTCCAGATTGTTTTGATGCTGAATTGAGCCATGACAGTGCCATCCCATTCTATTCCATCTTCAGTCCTGACCAAGTATGAAATAATAAGGGGTCTGGTCTTAAGTATTATATTTATATTAAGATTGGGGGTTGTTACCTTTTTTCTTCCCTCTCATTAGCCCATACTCCAGCCCTCATGTGGAGATAGGGGATTGCGGTGAATTGGTGGAGAATGGACGAAGAGTATTTGTTGTCTCCTGTTCAGTTAGTTTCTTCTACTGTGTTGCTAGAGTGCTTAATCTTGTGATTGTTCAGTTACTATGCTCTTTTATAATGATTTTAGGGGTGCCAATTGAAGATTTATGTGTACAAGAAGCTGAATGTCCAAATGATGAGCGCATCTACTGGTACTTTCATTTTGGTATCGATACTCTTTTGTTGTTTAACGATGGCTTCATATAAATTGTGCTCAACTTTCTCTGTTTTCATTGGATGCAGTGACATATGCAAGACTGCTATTTTTGACTACCACAGAAATTGCTCTGAATGTGAATCTGATATTTGTCTTTCCTGCTGTCGTGAGATCCGTGATGATAATCTTCGTGGCAATGTGCCGAGTATGGATATAAAATATGTTGATAGAGGATTTGACTACCTACACGGTGGGGCATGCGATGATGCTAAACATAAAAGTTCACACCGTGTTATAGTACCTGACGAGGATGCCGAGGAGAAACCTCTGGCTCTGGAACCAAAATTTTCATGGAAAGCAAATGAAGACGGTACTATAGCTTGTGCCTGTGGTTCCGGCACATTAAAACTCCGAACTCTGTTTTCTGGGGATTGGGTTTCGAAGTTGGTGGAAAGAGCAGAAGGTGTTGGTAAAGGACTTGATCTTGATTTGGCTAGGTCCACTTCCAGTACACAATGTGTCTGCTGTAATACTAGCACCCACCATGAAGTAAAATTCGATGGGTCAATGAAGGCTTCATCCCGTGAAGACTCTAGTGATAATTACTTGTTCTATCCAAATGCTAATAAATTTACAGAAGAAGATTTTGTGCATTTTCGCCACCACTGGATGAAGGCTGAACCTGTACTTGTTAGCAATGTGCTTGGAACTGGATCTGGCCTAAGCTGGGAGCCTATGGTCATGTGGCGTGCTTTCCGCCAAATAAAAAATGAAAATTACGACACACTCTTGGATGTGAAAACACTTGATTGTTTGGACTGGTGTGAGGTGCGCCCTTTATGCATGTTTGTTTATAATATGTCACTCACTTCACTGCATAACTACTTTCTATAGATGCAATAAGTCTAGTTTTGCTTTCACTAACATGATTAAGCAAAACACGTTTTATCTGAAATGCAGGTGGATATTAATGTGCACAAGTTCTTTGAAGGATACTCCAAAGGGGAATTTGATTTGGAGGGGTGGCCTCGGATTTTGAAGTTAAAAGACTGGCCACCATCTGCTATGTTCCATGAACGTTTGCCACGGCACGGTGCTGAGTACACTTGTTGTTTGCCCTTCAAGGAGTACACTCATCTTGCGGATGGGCCTCTGAATCTTGCAGCCAAACTTCCCGAGAAGTCTCTGAAGCCAGACATGGGACCAAAGACATACATAGCCTATGGGTTTCCCCAAGAGCTTGGCCGTGGAGATTCTGTGACGAAGCTTCACTGTGACATGTCTGATGCGGTAGGTTTCTTGTTTATGATACGATTATTTGTTAAATTTGACAGCATGTGGTCATATTATTTATATGTAATGTTCTGCTTGCAATATTTGTGTGCATGAGTGATACTATTTAATAGCTTACAGAGAGTCAAATATGTCATCAGTGTATCACAGCACCGAACTTGGTTGCATTGTTTATTGTTATTGTAATGTCGTAGGCATCCGTCATTTTACATTCTTATTGGCTCCAGCTTTCTGATTGTGTAAAATTGAATCCAGTTTGGAAATTGTTTTGTGTTGCTGTTGTTTGATTGTATTTTCCTTGTTCCAGGTAAATATTTTGGCACACACAAAAGAGATTGCCTATAAAAGCAGCAAACTTGCTGAAATAGAAAAATTGAAAAAGAAGCACTTTGAGCATGACCAAAGAGAAATATTTGGTATTGGCGAAGCTTTGAATGCCATCGATAAAGCTATGAAAGTTGGCAGCAATGAAGTTGACCATGACCAAAAGAATGATGAAAAGTTGCGGGAGAATACGTGTTCACAGGAATCGGAACTGAATTCTTTGGAGAGCCAAGTCGACAGGACCAAGTCTGATGAAGGGTTCTGCTGTGTGGAGATTAGAGTGGAAAATGATTGTCCTGAGGAATCAAAATTCAACGATTTGGAGATGCAAGTCGAAAGGACCAAGTCTTGTGATCTGCTGAACAATTCGCAGACGGAAGTGGAAAGGACCAAGTGTGGTGTTGAAACTTCAAGCAGTTTGGAGACGAAATTAGAAAGAAGCAAGTGTGGCGAGTTGCCAAATAGTTTAGTGGACGGAGGTGCTCTATGGGACATCTTTCGAAGAGAAGATGTTCCCAGACTGCAGGAATATCTTCTCAAGCACTTCAAGGAATTCAGGCACATTCATTGTTCCCCGTTGCAGGAGGTTTGATTTTGCATTCAATTGTGAGGCTACTTAAGGGTGTTGTTTCTTGATTTTTTGGTGCCCTTTGATATAAACAAATCTGCCATTTGGGTTTTGATGATGCAGGTCATCCATCCCATACATGATCAAACCTTTTATTTGACCGAGGAACATAAAAAGACGCTGAAGGAAGAATATGGTTGGTCTTCTTTCATTCTTCCATTTTCCCCTTCTTTTTTGCTATATGGCCCTATTATTTGCCTTTTGGATTTCAGGTGTCAGGGTTTTTTGCTTATGTGCTTCTGCATTATCTAACAGGTATTGAACCATGGACGTTTGTCCAGAAACTTGGTGATGCTGTCTTTATCCCTGCTGGCTGTCCTCATCAAGTGAGAAATTTGAAGGTAAAAAGCATAAGCTGTTTCAGCAATGACTTGATGTCTCAGAATTTGTGTCTGTGGGCATGCGTCGAGAGTTTGTATTGGCGCTCACTTATAATTTCTCAACTTCTGTCAAAACACGAACTGCACATCATGCTACTGACTAGTCTTTTCTGTTGAAATGGATATCCCAATTGATAGGCTCTAGCTATGTGATTTATTTCAGCAATGGTTTGCTTCACGAGACACTACAGTCTACATGTAAATGTCCAAAGAACTGTGGTACAACCTGATTGATATTATGCTTCATGTCTATTTCAGTCGTGCATCAAGGTTGCATCAGATTTTGTCTCGCCTGAAAATGTTGGAGAGTGCATCCGTCTGACAGAGGAGTTCCGCCTTCTTCCACTGAACCATCGTTCTAAGGAGGACAAGTTACAGGTGCTGTTCTCATCTCCCTTTCCTCTGTCTTTGTTGCTTTTCTTATGCTGGGATTAATAGCTGTTTAGATGTTAGTGGCTGTTGCAGTCATATCATATGATGTACTCCTTGCTTCTCATACAATTGACCCTCTACATTGTGTTAGCCTTGAGCTGCTGGTTTATGCCTTTTCTCATTATTAGAGAAAATGTCTTCGGTTTTCGAGTGGTACAGGTGAAGAAAATGTGTCTATATGCTATGAAGTGGGCACTGGAAATTCTACTCCCTCGGGAAGAAACAGTAGTGGATGGGGAAGACTCGGAAAAGAAAGATGATGAATCAAAGGACCAAAAGAAGGCGGTGAAGAAGAAGAAGAAGAAATCAAAAAAGTCCAAGAACTAACGAGTCTGGCTTCACGTGATGTATATTCTCAGTCCAACTTTCAGTCCCAGTAGTCATAACTTATAAGAAGTGAGTCCCTCTCTCCATTCCCAGGCAGCTAGGCCATTTTATGGGTCTCTTTTGGCCAAGAGATTATAAGGAGTTTGTGTGGGGCTGGGAGCAAACTGTAATATACTTGCATAGTCTGATAATGTGGAATCTGTAACATGTAATGCTACCCTTACCCCTCACGAAGTATGCCAACTATGTTATATTTGAAACGATGGCTCTTTGGATCCCTAGTTCTTAAATATGATCTGAAGTTCTGACCAGAAAAAATCGTTTGCACAATTTCCTGAGTTGTGACAAATGAGAATGCTGAATTGAATGAACTGCACTAATTGGCTGCTCCATGCATGGTGCTGGATTTCTGATATTTATCATGATTGCTTCATCACTATCTGCCTGTCATGGCGTCGTTGGATGAGTCGCGATGATGTTTCCCACGAGAATGTTGCCATGTGTTCCTACACCTCTAGGTATGTTACATATCTAATTGTGTGCTATCTTTGACGCTCTTTGATAATGTCTCTGTTCTAGTTTCCTTCTATCAACGAGGAGGGCAATTCCCAGGTGGTTATTCGTTAGTGTGTACGCCAACACACCATTGGCTCGACGGATGGAGTTCTGATCTTGAATTTATCTTCCTGATGCACTTTGATAACATTTTACAAAATTTTACAATATATATGATAACATGTTGTTGGTGATTGTAGAAGAATATTGAAGACATTTTGATTTTTTGCTTTTCCAATTGGTGTACAATCCTGGTTAAGCACCTGGCCACGAGATTGGCTGTTTGGGTCACAATCCTACAAGCCAATCCAACAGAGAAGCCTGGATGTAAGCAACCTCCATAGCTAAGGGCCTGCCTCTAGGAATGAATGCTTTGACAGAATATATTGAAGAAATGGAATCCATATCAGAGAAGGATTTGCAGGAGGTTCGAACTTCGAAGACTAGCCGCTGGATGAAGGACGTTTCATTGAAAGAAACTTTTCTGTAGTAGTTGTTTAATCATAAGGTGTTGCAACACCGTTTGGTTTATAGTAGTTAGCTGTTGACTAATTACTGTTTTCACTTGAAAGTGTCTGATAGGACAAAGACATACATCGAATTACTGCAACTCTGTTTCACTGCTGGTATAAAAAAGTAACAACATCACATAGCTGCTTCTGTGGGGTTATGCAACAAATTCGCCCTGTCTAAAATTCTCTCATGGTATCAGAGCGACCGATTTAGATCACCCATCACTCTGAGATGTTTGACGATCTAACATGGCAATCAACCGGCGACGGTTGGCGAGCGAGCGTAAACTTTCAACGACAATGTCTCCAGTGCTGGGTTTCAGAGTGGGTCTTTGGGTCCGCTTGATTAGAATGCTACCAACAACAACAATTCTATTATCCTCCCTCTACCTAAAAGCAAATGAGAGTTTTACTCAATCGATCATTTCCGAATCTATTGATGGTAATGGCTACTTGATGTGGAGTAGATTTATGAAAGGGGCGTGAAAATGAAGCATAATTTTGGTTTTATCGATGAGTCTTGCCAATGTATGCTAGGAATGAACCAAATTTTCTTTTGAGGAATAGTTGTAATATTGTTGTTGTCATTTGGATCTTGAATCCGTTGCAAAATGATATTAAGCTTTCTGTAACGAGTCATGAAAATGCCAAATCATTGTTGGATGAGCTGCAATTTAGGTTTGGAGTACTGAATGCAAACATGTTGACAAATATGGAAGATGAGATCCACGTACAACACACTAATTAAGAGTTTGTGGGATGAGTACGTAGAGTACAATTAAATAATGTTGCAATTGTATTTCAGGCAGTCCAAATATGTGTAATGTTGTGGTAGCTTATAATTAGAAGTCTTGAGACAAATTACCTAATTATAATTCTTCGAGCACTTAATTATCAGTATGATGTGATGCACCTACTGATGTTGAAACTTTTGGCAACTGACCTATAGCACTTCTACTATGCTATATAGTATTGGTGTTTTAATGTACAATTTGAAGTTGTACCATAACATTAAATGTATAAGTTTAGGTTGTACCATAAAGGAATTTGTATTATTATGTTATGGTACAACTTTACAACTTGAAGTTGTACCATCACATAAGGTACAAGTTTAAGTTGTACCATAAAAGAATTTGTACAAAAAGTATAGGTACAATCTGAAGTTGTACCATAACATTAAAGGTACAATTTCAAGTTGTACCATAAAGGTAAAAACCTATAGCACCAATTCTATATAGCATTGTAAAATTCCTCACTGACCTACTGTAGCTTATGAAATAGATGATTGATTGTGGCATGAACAAGAGCTCGAAGCAAATGGACCTGTGAGTGGAAAGAAGACACCCACACACACATTAGCCTTGTCGGTACACAATGATGCCGCAAAATAACATGAGAATGGTGAACGAGGTAAACGAAAAAAAGTTCTGTAAGTTATGCAAGAGAATAAACCACAACATAGAAGATTGTTGGAGGCTCAAAAGGAAGAACAAGGGGGCAATTTCACAAGCTGGAATTCCTAAGTTTGCAGGATCGGTCTAACAAGGGAGATCAAGTGGCAATGAGACACCAAAGAATATTGGATTCAATGATGAAGGTTGTATCGTGAGTCACTCTACTCATGGATTTACTCCTAAAGAGATGAACAAACTCACATACACATTGTAAATTCAGGACCTTATAAGCAAAATGACAATATTTTAGCAAGAGAAACTAAATGTCTTCACTAGCTTTCCTTTCCAAATAAGCCATCCCATTCTCGAGTTCAACACTGATTTCAAGCTGCTATTGTCTTTAAATTTTGGTCCTTGACAAATAGATTTGTGGCATTAGATATTAGCACATCCTAGAGATGATAGACTTTATTTGTTACAACATGTTGATTTTTGTGGAGCTCTTAATAAGATGGGTCATTATAATGTATGTCATCTCTCCAAACACGAAAGACTACCTTTCCTGTTAACACCAATAATGCAGTTGAGATTTTCACTCAATTGATGTGGAAATCTGGAGGCCTATGTCACTCATCTCTTATGATGAATTTAACGATTTTCTTAACATTATGGATGATTGTTCACATGATGTTTGGGTATCCCTCATTATGTGAGTTTTACATGGCTAAATAGATTGGTAACCAAATGTTAGTGCTATACACCATAACAAAATGTTGCGATGGAAAGGAAGTACCACCAATATTATGTATAGATTTTTTTTTAATGTGATTAGGTCACTCAGATTCCAATATGGTGGTGCACTATTATAGTTTTTGAGTGATTGTATATTTGTATTTACATTATGCATACTTAGTTGATGTCCGTAAACATTCACAACACTAAATTTGATCCGTACCAACACTAATAATGATACTCTACTTTTTAAGTCTCTCCATACCAACAATAACAACAAACATGCTTCATCACAAGACAACTATATGATTCCAAAACTAAGCAAAATTATAATTTGATGGAAATAGGAAAGTCTCTAAAAAGGAAGTCAAATATAATAAATAAATATGGATAGCAGTTTCCGTATCTACGAAATAACAGTCACCCGAGAAATTCCTCATATGCATATCTTTTCAAGTTTTGTACTCACCTCAACTCTCTTATTAGCAAACACATCTATTAATATTGGATGTCTCTAATTAAATATGTTGATTTCACTAACAATGTTCATCCGGTTGATCGTTTGTCTTGATGAAAGCGATAATCCATTTTCTCCAAATCAACATGAGTTCCAATAGGCTATAGCAAAATCATCTTAATATACTTATTAAAGTAATAAAGTGGTTACTGTTGCATTAGAGGTTGGTTAAATTGACAAGTAGTTTTGATTGTTTAGGTAACAACCACCTCGAAATTAAACACGTGGCAGTTATAGAATTTTTTCAATGACTTGATTTGTTTGATACATGAACATGGTTACTAAATCCTTAGTGTTATTTGATTGGTTAGTGAATTGTAATTTTCATTCAAAACTAGGGAGAATGCTATTGGTGTAGGCTTGACACGTTACTCCAACCTGAATCTCGATTTATGTTTAGGAAAAAAAAAGCGAAATGTTTTAAAATCATATCGAAGGATGTACCAGAAAAGTTAGCATTAGGGTATTTTGTGCTAAAATCTTAGTTCAACCATCATTTCATAGCTAAATTCACCTACCGATTTAGATTATTTAGGTGTTTTTTGACCAGCAGTACGGTAACGTGGCTAAATCAGGCTTGACACGTTGCTCTAACCCGAGCCTCGATTATGTTCCAATATAGTAAAAGTTGTAAAACCATACAGAAAGTCACAACAGAAAAGTTAGAATTAGAGTATTTTGTGCTAAAATCGTAGTTCAACCGTGGTTAAATCAGGCTTGACACGTTGCTCCAACACTAGGGCTGCAAATGAGTCGAGCTGAGCCGAGTTTCACCCTAGCTTGAGCTTGACTCGTTAACAAATGAACTGAGCTCGAGCTCGAGCCATTTATTAACGAGCCGAGTCGAGTCGAGTTCGAGCTAGACTTGTTTACTAAATTCTTAGATCGTATTTGATACATTCATTTTGTATGCCGTGTATGGTACAAGTGATTGATGTAACGATAAAAAAATAATCAAATGTCAACATTAATTAATCTTATACTATAATTTGTAGGTGTCATATTGTTTAGTTAATAAATTTTAACTAGTTCAAATCATGTTATTTCATAGTATCGAAACAATTTTGTACATAATTTCTTTATAGAATAAAAAATAAGGCATATTTTCTTACATGTTCAGCATGTTAAACTTCACATGATGTGAGATATATAATTTTAACAATCCTATGAATTATGAAAGTCCAAATTAGATCATTCGTCCATAAGTCGATGATCAAGTTGGCCCTCAAACCACAATATTGAGACATCTCATGAGCTCTAAATAAGCCAACTCACGAGTTGAGCTCAACAAGCCACCGAGCCAAGCTAGCTCGCGAGCATCGCGAGCTGAACAAAGCTAAGCTCAAGCTTGGCTCGTTAGTAAACGAGTCGAGTTTCGAACGAGTTTTTCCCGATTCGAGCCTCGAGTTGCTCGGCTCATTTGCAGCCCTATCCAACACGAGCCTCGATTTATATTTAAAAAACCAAAAATTGTAAAACCATACATAAGGTCGTACCAAAAAAGTTAGCAGCAGATTTTTTTGTGCTAAATTCGTAGTTAAGCCGTGTGTGCTTAAAATAAGGCTTGACACGTTGCTCCAACCCGAGTCTCAATTTATGTCGAGAAAAAGAAAACAAAAATTGTAAAACCATACTGAATGTTGTGCCAAAAAATTTATCATTATTGTATTTTGTGCTAAAATTGTAGTTCAATCGTGGTTGAATCAGACTTGACACGTTGCTCCAATTCGACCATTGATGTATGTTCACAAAAAATCAAAAACTATAAAATTATACTGAAAGTGGTACCGGAAAAGTCAACATTAGTACGTTTTGTGCTAATATTATAGTTCAGCTAAAATCACTTACTGATTTAGATTCCATTAAGAGTTTTCTATTTGATCTTTACTAACATGGTCACAAATCAAATACGGGTTAGCAACAATACACTAATATTATGAGAAGCCGCAACAAATTGCGGCACAGAATCTACCTGGGTATATATAATAATTGTACATTTTCAGCTCACTACAATTTCCATTGAACATTCAAACACTGCAAATCACCCAAAAATTTTTTCAAATCAAACCTACAAATGATAGCATGGATGAGTCAAATAGGACTTGACTTCTCACGGTTTGCCTCATATCTTGCGTTAGAAATGACAATGGGTAGGGTTGGAGCGGGTTTTGTCAAACCCAAACCCAAACTCATGGGTATATCCGTAAATAAAATTCGGGGTTGAAAAACTCAAACCCAACCCGCTGGGTATCCGCGAGTTCATGGGTACCCGTGAGTTTTTGTGGTAAAAAATTTACAATAACAAGTTTCTTTCAAAATAAAAGTTTAACATCAATTTTCTCATACAAATTAATCATACAAAAAACACCAATCTAAAGCATACAAGCAAACCGCAAATGATCAATACAAATTGTTCAAAATTAAAGATAAACATCTATAAACAATAAGATTAATTGTTAGTTGTAAAGAGTTCATTGCTAAGTTTCTTCACTCTCCACTTCATAATATCAACTTCATTCTAAACAATTAGAAAGAACAAATTATACATGCCTCTATAGACATAAAGAATATTAGTTTTTTTAAGAAATATATATTATTTAGAATATTAAATATACCGGGAAAATAATTAAATGTGTGTGAACGGGTACCCATATAACGGGTTTAAACCCAAACCCAAACCCAACCCAACCTGATAAATAGTGTAGCGGGTTTAAACTCAAACCCAACCCAAAACCCATCAACACGGATTTTACCCGCGTTAACTGAGTTGGGTCGGGTGGGTACCCGTGGGTTCTGATTTTGTTGCCATCTGCGTATCATCTATCATCGTATACAGTTTCTCCCCGGCGAGTAGAAGTATTATTCCGTTCCCGGGAATAACCCCCTGCCATTGCCCCCCTGTCCATCTAACTCCCCCACCGTGCCCGGGAAAAATTAGGTTTACGTTACTCTTACATTATTGCGCGAATGGTTGTAAAATGTCACGAGCAGACGATAGGTTCTGGTAGAAGCCGTTCATCTGGAGTAGCTTAACCGATTCCTGGAGAAACCGGAATCAGACTGCGCCAGAGGAAGTCGCGATGTTGAGAAGACGACTGATAAGTTGACAGCAAACGATTTCGTCGGAGTTAAGTGTTAATAATACGAAGGCGGCTGGTTCTGCTACAAGCTTTGCAGCAGGAGTGCCGAGAGAGGGAGAGAGAACAGTTCATGGCGAAACCGGGCACGAAATGCGGCGGAGGAAATCGATGGCGAGAGAGTTCCAAGCCAGAGATTCCGGCGAAACGAGGTCGCAGGAGACGGGATAGGCAGCCGGCTAGCTACGTGGAGTCCAACTTGATTGTCGATGAAGATGAGGTTCCAGGTGAGTTTAGACAAGGGGAGACGAGTGGAATTAGGGCTAGAAAGGCGTCTGTAACAGCGGAAGGCGGTGGTGGAGATCGGAATCACGAGGAGAAGGAGAGTGATGCGATGAGAATCGATCAGGGCGGCGGCGAGAATGGGACCGAGACCGTGGAAGGAGTATGTGGGAGTGGCGGTGAGGGAGTGAAAGAGACGGTGGATGGGGGAGACCAGGAAGCTGGCGAGGGTACTGAGAAGATATCCAGGAAAAGAGGACGGAAGAGTGGTGCGAAAATCCAGCGGCGAGAGAGCTCTGACACGGAAGCTATGGCGAGAGAGCGTCGCAATACCCGCGATCGCAAGACCGTCACGTATGTGGAGTCCAAGTGTTTGGAAGAAAGTGAGTTTTCAGGTAAGAAGAAACCTCGGGAGAGGAATAATATGAAGGCTGGAGGGGGCTCTAAAACTGGGGAAGTTCGTGAGACTCGTCCTCCATTGAATAAAGTGTATGGTGATCTGGATTGTACGAGGAACCGTGAGGTATGGGTCTATGGGATCGAATGATCTGGATTGGTTTTACTTTGTTGCCTGCTTTTTTAGCTGCCTTCTCTTTCGGTTTAGTACTCTACACCTTGACGCTGTACTGAGCGTGAATGCCTCTCTGCCTTTCCAGTTCACTGAGAAGTACTGTCTAATGTGCCATCAATGCCAAAGGAACGATAAAGGTGGTGTTGTTCGATGCAACAAATGTAAAACCAAGCGATACTGCTTCCCGTGCATATCAAATTGGTAAAGTTTCTCAAGAGTCTCCTTCTTGGTGTTTCCCGGTCTTTGCAGTAGCTTTAGGATGAAAATATCCATTTCTAATGTTTGATTGCTTGGTCTGGATTGCTCTGTAGACCAACTCCACAATAGGGAATTGAATTGCATCCAGTAGATTGGAAGATAGATTTTCTGACCGAGTCTGGTTTTGGCCTATTAAACCAGGTACCCAAAGTTGACGCATGAGGATGTTGCAGCTGCCTGTCCTTTTTGCTGTAACAACTGCAGTTGTAAAGCTTGTTTGCGCATGGACCTCCGAGCTGAGGTCCAGGCCCTTCCACATTGCACCCAGTTTCTTTTACGGAATTTCATATGTCGAGGCTCTGTGATTTGTACAATCCTCAATAGTTATTCTGTCTCTATCTTGTGCAGGATCTGCAGTCACGGTTGAAAGTAGAACTCACTCCAGATGAAAGCAGGCGGCATGCTGAATACATGTTACAGACAATTTTACCTTTCTTGAAGCAGATAGAGGAGGAGCAGTTAATGGAGAGAAATATTGATGCAGGAATCTTAGGTACTTTCTTGATACATATTATATTTATATTAGGATTGAGGGCTGATACCTTTTTTCTTCCCTCTCATTGGCCCATGCCCCTGCCCTCCCGTGGAGGTAGGGGATTGGCAGTGAATTGGTGAGAATGGAAGATGAGTATTTGTTGTTTCCTGTTCAGTTAGTTTCTTCTACTGTTTTGCTAGAGTGCTTCATCTCGTGATTTTTCAGTTACTGTACTTTTTTTATAACGGTTTTAGGCGTGCCAATTGAAGATTTATGTGTACAAGAAGCTGAATGTCCAGAAGATGAGCGCATCTACTGGTACTTTTCATTATGTATCGATATTATTGGTAGTTTAATGATGGCTTCATAAAAATTGGGGTCAACTTTCTCTGTTTTCATTCGATGCAGTGACATATGCAAGACTGCTATTTTTGACTACCACAGAAATTGCTCGGAATGTGAATCTGATATTTGTCTTTCCTGCTGCCGTGAGATCCGTGATGGTAATCTTCGCGGCAATGTGCCTAGTGTGGATATAAAATATGTTGATAGAGGATTTGACTACTTACACGGTGCATTCGATCATGGTACACGTAGAAGTTCACGCCATGCTATAGTCTCTGGTGAGGTTGCTGTGGAGGAACCTCTGGCTCAGGAACCAAAAACTTCTTGGAAAGCAAATGAAGATGGTACCATTGCTTGTGCCTGTGGTTCCGGCACTTTAAAACTCCAAACTCTGTTTTCTGGGAATTGGGTTTCGGAGCTGGTGGAGAGAGCAGAAGGTGTTAGTAAAGAACTTGATCTTTATTTGGGTAGGTCTTTTTCCAGTACACAATGTGTCCGCTGTAATGCCAGCGGCAACCACGAGTTGAAATTCGATGGGTTAATGAAGGCTTCTTCCCGTGAAGACTCAAGTGATAATTACTTGTTCTATCCAAATGCTAAAAATTTGACTGAAGAAGATTTTGAGCATTTCCGCCACCACTGGATGAAGGCTGAACCTGTACTTGTTAGCAATGTGCTTGGAACTGGATCTGGCCTAAGCTGGGAGCCTATGGTCATGTGGCGTGCCTTCCGCCAAATAAAAAATGAAAATTATGACACACTCTTGGATGTGAAAATCCTTGATTGTTTGGACTGGTGCGAGGTACGCTCTATTTGCTGTCTTGTAAATCTGATAATTTGTCACTTCATTGCATAACTGCTTTCTATAGATGCAGTAGCCAGTAAGTCTAGTTTTGCTTTCACGGTCATGATTCAGCAAAACAAGTTTTATCTGAACACGCAGGTGGATATCAATTTGCACAAGTTCTTTGATGGATACTCCAAGGGGGAGTTTGATTCTATGGGGTGGCCTCGGATTTTGAAGTTAAAAGACTGGCCACCATCTGCTATGTTCCATGAACGTTTGCCACAGCATGGTGCTGAGTACACCTGTTGTTTACCTTTTAAGGGGTACACTCATCTTGCGGATGGGCCTCTGAATCTTGCAGCCAAACTTCCCAAGAAGTCTTTGAAGCCTGACATGGGACCAAAGACATATATAGCTTATGGATTTCCCCAAGAGCTTGGCCGTGGAGATTCTGTGACAAAGCTCCACTGCGACATGTCTGATGCGGTACTTTTCTTGTTTATCATATGATGGCTAGTCAAATTTGACAGCATGAGGTGATATTACTTGTTTTAGCAAAATTTTGTTTGAAATATATTTGTGCACGTAGTTATAATAGTTGATAGCATGCAGTGACTTCAACGTGGCATGGGCATATCACAGCACAGTCTAATTGCTTTGTTTGATTCTAATATATAGTAATCCATCATCCCACAGTCTGATTGGTGCATGGTTTCTGTTGTCTTTGCTTGGAGTTTGCTTGTTTCAGGTATATATTTTGGCTCACACAAAAGAGATTGTCTATGGAAGCTCCGAACTTGCTCAAATTGAAAAATTGGAAAAAGTGCACTTTGAACATGACAAAAGAGAATTATTCGGTATAGGCAGAGGTTTGAACGCCATAGATGAAAATGAGAATGATAGCAGCAATAGAGTTGACCATGACCAAAAGAAGGATGATATGCTGCGCGAGAATACTTGTTCTCAGAGACCGCAACTGGACTCTTCGGAGAGCCAAGTCGAAAGGACCAAGTGCGGTGAGTTACCAAACAGTTTAGTGGAGGGAGGTGCTCTATGGGACATCTTCCGAAGAGAAGATGTTCCCAAACTGGGGGAATATCTTGTCAAGCACTTTAAAGAATTCAGGCATATTCTTTGTTCCCCATTGCAGGAGGTTTGATTTTGCATTCAATTGCAAAGCCGCTTCAGGGTGGTGTTCTCTTGATTTTTTTGGTGCCCTTTGATAAACAAATCTGTCATTTGGGTTTGATGGTGCAGGTCATCCATCCCATACATGATCAAACCTTTTATTTGACTGAGGAACATAAAAGGAAGCTGAAGGAAGAATATGGTTGCTCTTGCTTCTTTTTTGCTACCTAACCCTGTTTTTGCCTTTTAGATTTCATTTATCTGGTTTTTTAGCTTATGTGCTTTGGTATGATCTAACACAGGTGTTGAACCATGGACTTTTGTCCAGAAACTTGACGATGCCATCTTTATCCCTGCTGGCTGTCCTTATCAAGTGAGAAATTTGAAGGTAAAAGGCATGAGCTGTTTCAGTAATGATTGATGTCTGAGGCTTGGTGATCTTAGGCACGGTAGAGAGTTTGTGTTGACTTGTCACTCACCTGTGCCTTCTCAACTTATGTTAAAACATGAACGGCACATCATGATAAAGACTAGTCTTTTATGTTGATTTGGATATGACCATTGAATAAGCTCTACCCATTTTGAAATGTCTGAAGAACTGTAGTACCAACCCGATTGATCCGCTTTAGTTGTCTCTTTCAGTTGTGCATCCAGGTAGCATCAGATTTTGTCTCACCTGAAAACGTTGGAGAGTGCATTCGTCTAACAGAGGAGTTCCGTCTTCTTCCGCTGAACCATCGTTTGAAGGCAGACAAGTTGCAGGTGCTGTTCTGATCTCCCTTTCCAGCCTTTGTTGCTTTTTTTTAAATGCTTGGATTAATATATGTTTGAGTGTCAGTGGCAGTCACTTCATTGATATAAGTGACCCTCTACAACGTGTTTCCCTTGATCTGCTGGTTTATGCCTTTTCTCATTGTTAGCGCAAATGTCTTCGGTTTCGGATTGGTACAGGTGAAGAAAATGTGTTTATATGCTATGAAGTGGGCCCTGCAAATTCTACTCCCTCGAGAAGACTCGGATACGGAAGGAGATGAATCAAAGAAACGAAGAAAGGCGCCTTCAAGGAGGAGGAAGAAGGAATCAAAGAAGTCCAAGCAATAATGAGTCTGGCTTCTCGTGATGTATATTCTCATTCCAGCTTTCTATCCCAGTAGTTACAAGTGAGTCCCTCTCCCCATTCCCAGACAGCTAGGGCATTTTGTGGGTGTCACTTTTGGCTAAAAGATTACAAGGAGTTAGTGTTGGATTGGTGCTGTTCTCATATCTCCCTTTCTGCAGCCTGTGTTGCTTAGGGGACATACGTGCCTAGTACTCAATCCTCCTCGAAGGATTCTTCATCATCTCCGGCTTTATATGGTTTAGGGGAAGGAGAGCGTGCAAGTGTTGGAGAGATATCTGTTAGAGGGATCTCCACCTTCTCCATAATTGCATGAATGCACGACATGATGTGTTGCCTCGCTTCCTTTTCCCTTCTTTGATTCTTGAGAATCACCGCTATCAACGCTTCAGTATGGAAGTCTCTTGTTCGATTGATCGTTGAAGTGGTCGATTTGTAGGTTGGTTGTTGTGTTTGAATGCATGTCCTTCTTGTCCTTCCTCATCATCCATACTCGTTGTTCCTCTTGCTGCATGCTGAGTGGTTTTCCCCGGGAGGCGGAACACCGTACCTTCCATCTCTAAGGTGTTGGTGTTTAACTCAAGAATGTACTCGAGTTAACATAAGTGTAATTGAGGCTCTAATCTGGACTCCTCCGTTCAATCTCTTCGAGAGTGGAAGAATCTGTGGAGAGGAGGGGACCGCCCCTGTGATGATATGATCCCAATTGGCCAGCTCTGCACGTTTAAATTACTTTACGAAGAAGCTATCGAAGTTGGGAAGAAGAAAGGCAGAATTTGGCTAAGTCATAATCCGTGTTCAGGGTACATAGTTTGGAGGCATGGTTCTCTCAATTGGCTTGGTGGAAATTCAAGGTTAAGGGTTTGTTTTGTAGATAATGTTTACATGTTTCCAATGATATGCTTTGTGAAGCCAGATGATGTCATTAAGGTTGTTTTCCAAGGCCTCAAAGTTGCTATCCCAAAACTGGAAAACTGCCAGAAAATGGCCAAGGCAGAAAACTGTTTTGTGAAGCCTACTTTGAAGCTCAATTCAAGGAGCATGGATGGGATTCAAGTCAAAAGGCTTCCACAACATGAAACTAGGTATGTTTGTGAACAAAGGGAAGGAATTGGATGAAGAATTGGAGTTCGGGAAGGCCTTCAACAAAAGGCGCGAAGTTAGTACGAAAGCTGCCTTTTGACTGTTTTCCGGGCAGCTTACTTGTGCTTGAAGAAAGAGAGTTTAAATCCGAATTTTGTGTCCTTTTTAGTGTAGACTTTTACCTTAATTGTTTCCTAGTTCTATTAGGTCTGTATTAGGTTTTATTGGCTATAAATAGCCTTCTATTTCGTTGTAAAAACAGAAGACTTTGATTAATCGAAAAACAAACCTTTTGGTTTTGTGCAAGTTGCGACTTGTTTGAGTTTGGTGGATTCCAAGCTTGTGAGCTTAGTATCGATTGAATATCCTCTTCAATCGTGGTCGAGCAGCTACCCTTTTATACCATACGTGCTTTCCCCAGGTGTGGAATTGTCCGTTGGTTCCGTTTTATCCCAAGTTCGTATTAAGAGCGCTTCGTTCTTGATTCGAGCTCAATCGATTCTTCGATTGAGTCGTTGCTGCGTTACTTTGATAACATACACCCTCCCCAGGGGCGTATTAAGTGGTATCAGAGCCCCGTTCAAGTCAGGGCGAGGAAGGAGGCTGTGTTTCGTGCGAAAAATCAGCCGCAAAAACAAAGGAAAAAGAAAAACAGAATCGATGGCAGTAGAGGAGCTAGCAGAATCGATGTTCTTCACCCGTTGCTTAATCCAGGAGAAGTTGTGCTTATTGCTCGTTGATGGAGGCAGGGAGAGCAATCTTATATCCTCCAGGATCGTGGACAAATTGAGGCTGCCATTGCAGCTGCACCCATTCCCCTACAGTTTACAATTGCCGTACAAGAAGTATCCAAGCCTTGTGCTTACACAAGTTTCTGTGGAGTTTTCAATTGGAAGATACAGAGATCAGGCCTTGTGCGACGTGGTGTGTAATCTTCCAAGTAGTATTGTATTAGGACAACCTTGGTTCCATGGTCGAGAAGTTCAACGAGCAAGTAGAAGGAACAAGAAATTTCGGCTGAAGCATCAAGGCAAGGCATTCATCTTGAAACCTTTACTCCGAGAAGAGGCTGCTGAGGACTTGAAGGCTTTGAAACATCTAGAGGAAGAGTACAGGAACTCCTTTGAACCAAAGAAATCAGCCCCAATCCCAGCAACCCAAGGAACAACAACTAGGGTAGATAATTCAAAGCAGCAAAGTACCGATTTGTCTCGACCAAAAGAAGAGCCTGCTGTAGAACGTTTGGACATCCAGAAACCATCGAGTTCCACCTCAAACTTCATCGTAGGTGAAGAAGAAGTAACCTTGGATGATTCAACGGAGTCGGGGCTGTCAAGCTGTGAGGTTTTGGAAGCAAACAGCGCCGGCGGGCGACACCTCTGTTCTTCGTCGAGAAAACAGAGTAGGAGAGAGGGAGAAGCGGGTGGAGAGCTGGGGAATGAGTCGAGCAAAGAAGACTGCACCAATATGCTCGAAAAACTCCCAGTAATGAATTCCTTAACAAAAATCGACGCCAATCAGCTTCAAATACAAGTTCATAATTTGGCAAAATTGCCTCTGCAATTGCCGGAATTGAGCTCCAAACACGACTACCTCCTTGGAGCAATTGAGGGCAAACCGAGCAGAACCGAAACCATGGACAAGTTGCTGGAGGTCCAAGCAATGTGTGGAGCTCCTTCGATTGACCAAAATGGAGGAGAATAAAAAACGCCCAACTTGGGTTCTGGGCTTCTCGGTTGGCTGCAGTTCGAAATTGACGATGGTGGGAAAACTTCCCAACTGCGAATACCGAGGTGGAGGCCTCGAAATCGTTCTGAGCTACTTAGCATCGTCTATGGGGTGTCAGGCAATGTACAATTGAGCGAAAGATTGGAGTGGGAGCGCTTGGAACCACCAACCCCAATCTGCCGACGTTCCTTGCCGCGACGCACACAGCCGCAATCTGGAAAAGGGCCAAACCATATTCTGGGTGCATTTGTGCTAGCTACTCGCGTGCAGAGTGCACGTTGGAGTCCAATAAAAGTGCCAAAGTTGGACTTTTTCTCGAAAGAAGCAGGAGCACGAGCAGATGCAGCTCCGAAACTCGTATGGCAGCAAGCAGCATACTCTTTTCATGACCCGTTTTGGGATGATTTCGTTGACGATTATGGTTGCAGGTCAAGACAAGCTTTGAGGGCAAAGCTTTTTAAAGAGGGGAAGCCTGATATGATCCTAATTGGCCAGCTCTGCACGTTTAAATTACTTTACGAAGAAGCTATCGAAGTTGGGAAGAAGAAAGGCAGAATTTGGCTAAGTCATAATCCGTGTTCAGGGTACATAGTTTGGAGGCATGGTTCTCTCAATTGGCTTGGTGGAAATTCAAGGTTAAGGGTTTGTTTTGTAGATAATGTTTACATGTTTCCAATGATATGCTTTGTGAAGCCAGATGATGTCATTAAGGTTGTTTTCCAAGGCCTCAAAGTTGCTATCCCAAAACTGGAAAACTGCCAGAAAATGGCCAAGGCAGAAAACTGTTTTGTGAAGCCTACTTTGAAGCTCAATTCAAGGAGCATGGATGGGATTCAAGTCAAAAGGCTTCCACAACATGAAACTAGGTATGTTTGTGAACAAAGGGAAGGAATTGGAGTTCGGGAAGGCCTTCAACAAAAGGCGCGAAGTTAGTACGAAAGCTGCCTTTTGACTGTTTTCCGGGCAGCTTACTTGTGCTTGAAGAAAGAGAGTTTAAATCCGAATTTTGTGTCCTTTTTAGTGTAGACTTTTACCTTAATTGTTTCCTAGTTCTATTAGGTCTGTATTAGGTTTTATTGGCTATAAATAGCCTTCTATTTCGTTGTAAAAACAGAAGACTTTGATTAATCGAAAAACAAACCTTTTGGTTTTGTGCAAGTTGCGACTTGTTTGAGTTTGGTGGATTCCAAGCTTGTGAGCTTAGTATCGATTGAATATCCTCTTCAATCGTGGTCGAGCAGCTACCCTTTTATACCATACGTGCTTTCCCCAGGTGTGGAATTGTCCGTTGGTTCCGTTTTATCCCAAGTTCGTATTAAGAGCGCTTCGTTCTTGATTCGAGCTCAATCGATTCTTCGATTGAGTCGTTGCTGCGTTACTTTGATAACATACACCCTCCCCAGGGGCGTATTATGTGATATATGCTTCGACCCCAAGTTAGTACGAGATACACGTGTGTATATGTGAATGTAGAGAGATAAAGTTAGGGAGAGGACTTGTATGGTGAATGTGGAGAAGAGATCCCTAGCGCTTAGAGGGCATAAGCCTCTTTATATAGGAGTCGGAGGCTTCCATTGAGCTGGGTGCCTCGGGGTAGGCTAGGCACCATAGAGCGGCCTGGACGCCTTAGAGCGGAGTGGACACCTTCGGTGAAGTTGGACGCTTTAGTTAGGCTAGGCGCCTTAGAATGGGCTCGAAGCCTTAGGAGAGGTGCCTTACGTATGCTTAGACTCATTGGTGAAGTGTGTACCATTATTGTATTAGTCATATACTAATCCATATCTCAACAGTTGCCCCTTTACTTCTTGTATTTTCTAAGAATGGAACGAGTAACATAATGCACTATTTTATATTGATTTGCCTTGCAAGCTCGAAAGATGCTCTTTTGCCCCTTGAGGTGAGGTGCCTCAAAGTGGGTTGGATGCCTCATGAGAGGTACTTTATCTTGAGGTGGATGCCTTAGGCGTGATGCCATGAAGCTGGCGCTTTTAAGGGGGCCTTCCGGTGTGATTCTTTGAGGTTGTCGCCTTAAGAGTGAGATGAAGGTCTCGGTGGAGGTGACTTGAGGTTGGTTGGAGGCCTAAGATGAGATGTTTTGAGGCTAACGCCTCTAAGTGAGAAGGAGGTCTCAGAGGCAGTGCCTTGATGCTGCATCCTTAGGAATGTCAGTCCAAAGGGTGCGCTCTGCCCCTTGAGGTGAGGTGCTCAGGTGGAGGCCTCACAGAAGGTGCCTTTAGGTTGATGCTGGAGCGAGTTTGATGTCTCAAGTAAGATGCTTTGGGGTTGACGCCTTAAAGGGGGGTGGAGGTTGCCCCTTGCATGTGTTGAAAGACCGTTGATTTTTCTTTGTGCGGATGTTGCATGAGGAGTTAGACGATTCATTTTGCTCCTTGTGCAAGTTCCATGATCATTGCATTTGCCCCTTGCTTAGCTTTCGCTGTCTTGAGTTAAAATCTCTCAAATTGTAAAGATTTGCCTCACTAGCCCATTATTATTAGACATTAGCTATGTACTAGGGATGGTGACCCCCACGATTTGGGGAAAAATCCCACTGTACACACGTTCTTAAAAAAAATTCCCAAAATACACGAGTTATAAAAAAATTTCCCAAAGTACACATGTTTGAGCATCACCGTTTTAGACAAAAGCGGTGAAGGTCATCACCGCTTTTGACAAAGACGGTGAATACTTCACTGTTTTAAACTAAAACGGTGAAGAATTCGC